GTTCTTCCGACGTCTGATTTCTTTTTAAAAAATGTGTTTCTAAAATGCATAAACTTTTGGGATTGATTGTATAGCCAATACATCCATAAATGGGAACAAAATTGTTTTCCATATGAATCGTTTCTATCTGACGTGGCGTATTACAAAGGGAATTATATTTCGCGTTGATTAAGGAAACTTAAATAATAGTTTCGCGGACGTCTGGTTAGGTGGTCGAACGGTAAACTCGCTAATGCCTGACGTAATCTACTTAAGCAAGGAAACTCCTCGAGGATACTCCTCCGCGAAATCACGATCCTCTGACAGTTCTCGGGTTTAGGCTTGACGGGTTATTGGATTAACCTACACTAAGAAATGCTCTCGTACAATTAGGCAAGTTGCGTAACGCTCTTCGCGAGACCCGTGCGTCCAGAGTTTAATGCTCATTCGATTCCAACGCGAGTAATGGATATTGAAAATGCGCAACTCGAATTTCAGGATCCTATTTTACTTTACCGAGAAGTTTGACCGACTACTCTCCCTTTTCCATTGGAATTCCGGCACCTTATCTCTAGGGAGCCATTCCCGGTTTCAGGAATGCGACAGGATAACGAGACGCGATGCGAAGTAACCAACTTAGCGTCTTTTATGGTTCTACATGTGTTCCGAATGGGATAAGCGTGTTTTACGAGTTCTTCGAGCCACTCGTAGTTACTCGCGATAATATTTACGTTCGGTTCTTACGGCTCGAGCCGAGACAACTTGTTTCATTATGCCTCGAGAGTACGCGGACTAACCAACAGTTTAAAATTCCACGCGTGTAACGATCGATCAAAAATAAGTACTACGATTTTAGTCAATAAAGAAGAAAAGACTGGGAGAACAGATTTCTCGAATCGCAGTAGTATAACCCGACCTACGGCCAGACGTAAAAGCCGGTCGGTGAAATATGTACACTTTCCACTGGTCAGACACGCCGTAGGTACGGACGCAACGTCGGCGTTGAAAGGGCGCGCGGACGGGTGCGAGAAAAAAAGCGAAATATCAGCGATTCAGCGCTGGCCGCGTTCGACAGAATCGTATGCGCTAACGAGACGATTTTCAATGGGAACAATTTCGGCGCGGGGCAACAAACGCCGGGTAAACGTGGCAATCGTGACCCTACGAGCCTGCGGGAGCACGGGACTCGTCGTAACGATTCGTTACGTCGTTACGAGTTCGCCGGTGGAAGGGTGGTAAACTCTTTGGGCAGCGTGCAAATGGCGTAACGCATGCAAATTCCTGAACAAATGCGTAATTAGCGTCGGGTCGGTCGGGAGACGGAGAGAGTTGTTAAATCAACGAGGAGACGATTCCCGATCGACCGATCCTATTGTTGCGAACGTGCGGTTCATGCTAATGCCACTGACGTTTTACGGGCATCCGTGCATTCCAGATTTAGTAACTATGGATTTTCAATACGCCGAATAATATTAAGGCGCGTATAGTCGGGGGTCAGATCGCGGGGGAAGACTTTACGTTTATTAATACGCAACCTCCATTTCGAGGCTATCGAAAGTCAACTGATTGTATCGGATCCATTAATAACGGCTCGGAATCGCGAGTGAAATTCCGGCTGGCCGCGTTCCGGTGCTGAATCATTCGCGTGATGAACGAGAGGCGAAGCTTTTCGGAAAGTGGTCGGCCGTTTTAAGCGCGTCGACATTAAAATATATAGGTTGCAGGACCACCACCGAAAAGGTTATTTATACCCGGAGTGGATCGAGCTGTTCGACCAGGCCGGCGAGCATAATATCCGAGAGATCGCATTACGCGATAT